TGCCTCAAAAACACAAAACGGAAGCATTAAAAAAATGCAGATAATGATCGCGCGATATTTAATAAAAAAATTTAATTATTTATTGGTCGATTTTTGATTAAAAAGTTGCATAATTTATCGAAGTATCGATTTTATAATAAAAAGCGATGTTTTATTAAAAATGTTCATTATTTATGGAAGTATCGATTTTTAGAATATAAAGCGCCGCGGTCGAAATTTTTTAATAAAAAATCGCGCGATTTTTAATTAAAAATATTCATTATTTATGGAAGTATCGATTTTTAGAATATAAAGCGCCGCAGGCGAAAATTTTTAATAAAAAATCGCGCGATTTTTAATTAAAAATTTTCATTATTTATGGAAGTATCGATTTTTAGAATATAAAGCGCCGCAGGCGAAAATTTTTAATAAAAAATCGCGCGATTTTTTATTAAAAATTTTCGATATATATGGAACTATATTAATATATGGTTACTGGGTGTTTTATATAAAATCACGCGATTTTATATAAAAAAATTTCATAATTTATGAAAGTATATTAAAAAAAAAGCTTCTGCATGCGAAAAAATAAGAAGAGAATAAAAGAAATACCGTTGGAAAACGGTTGCCATAAAAATATGACGATTTTACGCACAACTCCTTTTTTGTGTTGGCCGCGTTTTAATAAAATCCTTTAATAGTGGCGTATTTACTTTTAAAACGTATGGCAGCACATATTTGCTCTTACTGTCGGCCATTGTTATTTCTGTTTGTTTGTGAAAAGTGGTAAAACGTGAACACAAATTTATAAACGCGTTTTACTTAATTAATTGGTGAATTATATGTAATAAAAGCATAAAATACGCATGTGAGCATTGAAAATATAATATGTAACACAAAATATAAGTGATAAGTGGCATATTTTAAAAAAATTAGGGGGTGATAGTGGACATTATTTAACAACAAATTGCTAAAATACTATTAGCAATTATATTGTGAGAGTGAACTTTCGCTGAAATTTCGATTGGTTCCGTTTTGGAAAGCCCACCTAATTTTTTTCTTATCTCACTTTTCCATTCAGTCCATACCTAAAAACAATAAAATAGTAGAACTTTCATTGGGCCTACGACATGCAATATACCTTCTTCCACCCATTAGCATCCTTTTGGGGTGGGCCTGCGCTATTTAAAGAATTTGATAGTTCTTGCCAAAGAGCGTTAACGAGTGCCTTATCTCGTTTTGTGTAGCCCTTAGCGATGTCGGGGTTATTTTCCATAAACTCCACGATTATGGAATTTTGAACGCTATTCTTGTGTTTTCCCCTAATATTAAAATTTAAAATTAACGTTTTTATGAATTAGATATTGATTAATATACTCACATAAACCAAAATAAGAACCTGCAGAATGCGAAATAACAAAACGAAAATACAATTCTGACAACGATGTACAGCTTGGCTTGTTTCCGATAAGCAAACCGATAAAACTGGTTCCTATGACACCAAAAACCGACTTTATTTCCGATTCGAATATAAAACCGATAATATCGAAATGCAAGACACCAATGGGAATTTTTCATCGGTTTCGATTCCTATTCCGATAAAGGTCAGATTCTGCAACAGCCCTGTATATCTTATTACATTAAACGAGCAATTCTTGTATATATATATATATATATATCCATAGGGTTCTTGGAAACGGCTCTAACGATTTTTATGAAATTTTGTACACAGATAATGTTTTGGATTTTAAGGTTATCTGAATAGGCATTATCTCCGAGTGGACTCGTATAAGGTTGCCACCTATTCGAAATTAGTTACAAATCAATTAAAACATCATAATATAGGTATCAAATGGAAGGTATTTTAAAGATTTCTAATTCAAAAATATTTTTAATAGGGTTGCCACGTATTTTGAATCGCATATTTATTTAATTTTTTGTTAAAAAAGGGTAAAATATTACTATTTATGGGTATCAAGAGAAGGTCCTTAAACAATGCTTTTCCTGTATACAAAATCTTATCCCTTAGGATAATAGTGTAAGGTTGCCACTTGTTTTCAATTCTACACAATTTATTTAAAACATCGCAATATGGATATCAAATGAAAGGTATTGTTGAGTACTTTGGTCAGAAAATATTTTCCATCAGGGTTGCCACGCTTCTATGTAATACAAAATTTTATCTTGTTAATTTCAATCAACATTTTTTTTATGTATACACAGTACATATGCGCTCAAGATATGTACCATTCATTCCCCCCTATTTCGTAATAGGGTTGCCACCTAAATTTTAGAATAAGGAATTTACTTAATAGATATCGAAATCCATTTTTTTCCAAAATATTTTTTTAAAGCTATCCAAATCTTGAAAACTTTAAAAAGTATATGCACTCCGGGCAAAGCTCGGTCAACCTGGTACTGATTTTTAACCATAATAATAGATATAAAATTCACTTTAAACACAGAAAAAAAGCCAAAGATAGAAGAGCTGTAAAAAACGCGTCCGAACTTCACAACTGCTGTTGATGTTGAGTGTCATCTGCATAAAGATGAATGGATGAACTTTGGCAACACTCCACTATATCGTTCATGAATGTGCAGAACAATAAGGGACCCAGAATGGAACCCTGCGGCACACCAGATGTTACGGGCTTTAAGCTTGAATAATTTTCACCACATTGAACCTGCTGTAGCCTACCTGTCAAATAGCTCTCCAATAATTGCAAAGAAAACGACCCGAACTTAAAGAGATTACCTAGCTTTCCCAATAACTTATAGCAATATTAATACTGTTAACTGATTTTTATCAAAGGCTGGACGTATGTCTTCTAATACTTTCAGCATTGCAGTGGAGCAACTGTGCTGGCTTCTAAATCCCGACTGAAGATCACTTAGTAGACTATTTTTATTTAAGTAGCCGTGATAAGAATTTTTCAAACACTTTAGAGAGCGCAGGTAAAATACTTATCGGTCTAAAGTGTTCGGGGGAGTTCGGACATTTAGTTTTAGGAACGGGTACTGCATTTGCTGTTTTCCAAAGTGAGGGAAAGGTGGATGAGGTAAGGCAAAAGTTAATTATATGAGTTAGTGACGGGGTCACACTGGCGAAGGTTTTTATTATATTTTATAAGGGACATTTTTATTTTTCATATTCTGTGTTTAAAAATTTACCTCTGAAAAATGCAGAGCTGATTTAAAGGACAGTTTAAGAAATAAAGGACAAAAGGCGTCCTTTATTTTGAAAAAAATTATAAAGGACAGGGAGTTAAAATAAAGGACTGTCCTTTAAAATAAAGGCCGGATGGTCACCGTAAGTATACCCCTCTTGTGTTTTTATTCGGGTCAATCGGTCCACACATTATTTTTCTATTGATTTTTAAGTTTCGCAATTTTTCTGATTTTTGGACCTTTGAAAGAAATTATGTTAATGGATTTGGAATCAACAGAAGGAATTTTTTTTGCTTAATGGTTTCGTCTTTTAAATTTGTTCCAAAATGTAAAGCTACTTATGTATAATTTAAAAATGGCTTGCAGTGTTCGCTATTCTATAGGAGCTAGATAAATAATTATATGGACAATGTATATGTGTATGTATCTTACCTGTGAGGTCAAATATTCTTCTTGATCAACTGTAATGCTGTTATTCCATTTCCACATTCCCAAAAATATTAGGTCCTCTTGACAGAGCGCATTAGTGTCCGGCCTTGTTCGGCGAACGCGATAATTTTTCACAATTTCGTCACGCAACTACTTAGAACCAAAAAGTTATGAGTCAAATAAATTGAAATATTTTCTTGCTTACTATGTCTAGTCGCGGTGCTGCTTTAATTGTTTTTGTTGTTGGTAATCTGGTACCATGTCTATGTAAAATCCACATTTTTTTTGGTTTGCAACCTGTTGGACAAAAATAAGTAATTGATTATTGTTCATCAAAGATACTAGATATCAATGCAATTATATTATATTTGTTATACTTCACTTGACTACCTCAGAGCTTTCAAATACTGTCGGTGGCATATTTGAACAGACTACTGCACTACTTCTCTTACTGAGTATTGTCGACTACTGCATTGGTTAGGGTAAACGGTGGGAATTGCAGAGAGTGCAATGAACATCTACATATGTATGTGTAGTTGTAGTGCGTGGCTATGTTACCTTGACTTAGCAACAACTTACCCCAATTATTCTTAACTTTGAATTCTTTAATAGAGAAAAACTTAATTACAAGATAAAATACGTATACTATGCGTATATTAAAATAATATTTGATACTTGTATCACGAAATAACACAAACGGCAATAACGCAAACTTTGTGTTATTTCCCAATTGAATGTGAAATAACACAAATTTGATTTATTTCATTTCTCGTTGAGCAATAAGACCAACTTTTAAACTTAACACTTGAGTAATAAAGCAAAATAGTGCACATATGTATGTAGGTAGTCACCAAGTTACATTTGACAAAAAGTAGTACATGAACAAGTTAAATGGACGGATTTGTAAGTATACAATTTTGAAAGTGCCCAGCGTCGTGGCGGTCCGCGTTCGCTCGCGTCCCCCGCCCCCTCCCCTCCTTTCACAATTATGCACTGCTGTCATTATAACAGTTTTGAAAAAAGAATAATAATAAAATGACACTAGTTCACTTCTGAAACTGCTTTTTAATGTCCAAGTAATTAGAATTATTGTGTATGGTGTTATTGCATGCATCCCACCCATAGTGGAATTTACCAGGTGCCACTGCCTTATTTGAAAATTTGCCTATAAAATGTGACTATAAGGCAGCCGAATGTCAGAAAATAAAGCGAGAAAGCTGTTTTATTACTTCACCTGTTTATTGCGCCATTCATCCCACCTGCTTGTACCGAGTATACGTTCAAATTTAGAAGTCTGATAGAAGGTAAAATTTTACATATTTTTACATCACTACTTCGTACCACATGTTCGCTTCGTCTTCGTAAACGAAATCCACATTTCGGATATGGTGAAACCAGTGATGATAATGCAGAAATTTTAACTGAGGATAAAACTCAAAACAATATTCTCTGTGTTATATGTTGCGAACAGGAACGGCAACTTTTGTTTGTTCCATGCCATGGTGGAATTCTACCAGGTGAAGTAATAAGAGCGAGAAAAATATTTTGGCACTGCCTTATTTGGTAAATTGCCTTTAAAATTTGACTATAAGGCAACCGAATGACAGAAAATAAAGCGAGAAAGCTGTTTTATTACTTCACCTGTTTATTGCGCCATGGTTCCATGCAAACATTTTAAGGTTTTCCAGCAATGATTTCAACATGTTAAAAAGCATGCAGATAAAATTCATACAAAAGCGCTATATCCAATTTGTTGAGCAGTTACTAAAGACGACTCTTTTCCTATATTTTGTTAGAGTTTTCACAAGTAAAAATATTTTGTGAATATTACTTTCTTCATATGAATTATATCACACTTATTGTTTAATTGTATTTTTGGAATAAACAAAGCTCTTTTTCCTTCTGTCAGTAAACTGTTTTTGTTACAAATAGTATAAATAAGCAATGGGAAATCATGATTCAATAATTAAAGGTTTGCTCATTAGTGACATTAGAGTTTTGACACTCTCTTAGCTCCCTTGCCAAAACTTTGCACACACACACGAACCCACACACAGTGCCTTGCTAAGGGAGCCGATTTTGTCAAGAGGGATCGAGAAAACTGTTTTTTGAGCAAACCTTTTATTATTGAATCATGATGGGAAATAAGGCAAAATTTTGCGTTATTGCCGTTTGTGTTATTCCCATAGGCGTGGAATATCTTATCAGCTATAACTTCGGAACCTTAAATCACATGGATTTGAATTTTGGTATGGAGCCGTTTCCATGGTAGGTACGTATAGTAGGGTATATATAAAAAGTGTAAAAGAGGGCGTGGCACATCTCATAGGCATGGAATTTCTTATCAGCTATATCTTCGGAACCATAAGTGTTTAAGCCGCCGCTTAAACCTAATTCAGCGGCCGTGCGCGTATCCTTTGGCCGCAGTGGAGTCGAAGCGACTCCGAAAATAATTACCGAGCGCGCACGGCCGCCTACCATCCTCGCGGAAAATTACCACCGAACCAGTTCAGCATTTATCGTTGGACTTCGCGCACGCGCCCCTTTTGAAATTCATATTGTGTCAAACTTGAAAGCTAATTTTTATAAGTAACCTTATTGTATATGCCCATACATGCATATACTCTTAACCGTGAAGTTTTAAAGTATGAAGAACTAAGCTGCATAAATTGAGAATAAACGAAGTTTTAATTTATACTTTTAAATCGAACCTAAGTGTTTCCTTTAAGTGGAAATAAACTGTGATCAAGGTGAGTGCGAAGAGACCAAGCGAAGAACTATTCATGGTCCTTCGCAGCCAACCGTGGCCCAGCTCCTAAAAAAAAAAATATTAAAACTTAAAATTAAAAAATTAAAAAAATCCGTCCTCGTACGTCCGCAAAAACTCATATCTAAAACCTTTTAACAAAGTGGAAAAAAATAAAAACTTAAAAAACAAAAAAAAAAACAGAAACTAAAGTGCACGTATACATATATAGTAGAAAAGTGCACATATTAACAATTCTTTGAAAAAAAAGTTCTCTATGCCGATACTTTTGTGCGCATATAGTTATTTCTTGTAACAAGCACAACAACAAAGCGAAATCAGCACCCATCACCCACCCAATCCATCGGCCAACATTAGAGGGACATCAGCAGCAGCGGCCATCAACAGCATCAGTAGCCATCATCAGCTACAACAACAACACCAGGCACAAGACCCATGGTGGAATAATAACAAGGTGTTGTCAGTAGCGACGTGTTTGTTGTAATTTTGACAAGATC